ATCAAACGACGCAATGCACCTGGGGCGCTACGGAAACAGCCTCCTCGTATAATTACAAGGGTAAAATTTGCGTACAACTGACCCTCAGACCCCAATCAGTCGGGAATATACAAGTATGTTGTTGTTGTTGTTGTTGTGGCTTGTGACTTGTGAGAAGAGTTAGAAAACCAAGAAAATTTGTGTAGATGGCTGCATGATTGGGTGTGACGGCGTGTGTGTGTGTGGGGATTAGGACATAATGGAAATTTTGAGAATCTGCCCGTCTTTTTTTGCGCCAATTGTTTCAGAAGGTTAGTCACGAGCATTATGGGCTGGCCTTATATTCATCCGAGTAGGGGCTCTCTTGTAGTTGCTGTATTTGCTGTAGGCTAATTTATACATCTAGTTTGAGAAGTTCTGTAAATATATGTACATTAATCATTACGGCATTTTTCGACAAGAGCTCGAGCTCAACTCGATAAAAACTACAACAGCTCGAGCTCGACTTAAAATCAAAATGTTCGAGCTCGGCTCGAGTTTGGCTCGAAATTTTTTAAGTGAAAACGTAAAATTACCATTAAGGACATATGCTAACATATATATAAGGGGTATTTTAATAATTTAACATGTATCTCGAGCCGTTCGACAAAGCAAAATATGGGCTTGAACTCGACTCGAGTTCGTGCTCGAGCCGCTCGAGTTCGGTCAAACTCGAGCTCGAGTCGAGCTTTGACTCGGGCGCTCGCGAGCAACTCGGTTCGTTTGCAGCCTTAGACATACCTCACTCCCTTATATGGAGAGATAATAACTTGTTGCTCAAGACTGCTCGAGTGGACTGCCCAAACGGCCCGTTACTGTCCCTGAATTATCCAATTCTATTAGGTAACGTGGATTTGTTCTTGTTCTTCATTGACCGAATAAAAATATGGAAAGATATGCTTATTTATTTATAGGAAAATAAAGACTAAGCATATACTGTCGCGGTAAGAATAAAATACTAATTCAAAGGCAACTAAATATGCAATATCTAAGAATTACCAATATCTAACAATCTAAACAATTAACTCACGTGCGAAAAGAATCCTAAGACTAAATAATAAATCACCTAATATATAACATACTAACCTACTAAATAATCCTAACAATCTAAAACTAACAACTAACGCTAACAAATACTAACACCTGCCACTAACACCTAACAATTACCAATATATTAAACTAACAAAATGAACTCTAACAACTATTAAATAATTACTAAACTAATCTAATAACATAATTAATCTAATAATAATCTTCTTGAAACTTCGTCTGGCTTGCCCGTCAAGTCACACCGCATGCGTGTTTGAATCTCACTTCTCACGCGTACCGTGCATGATCATCGGGCGTGCGTCCTCGTATTCGAGCTTACTCTCGTCTTCTCAGCCAAGCGCGCATCTTTCGCCCCTTTGTGCGGCCCCATCTGATCGATTTGGCTCTCGTCTCTTCTCGTCCATGGGCATCGAATCTGCATTCTCATCACCCCTCTTTTCAGCGGATTTACAGGTCACTGAGAGTTAAAAAACGAAAGATGGTCCTATTGGTATTGGTTTAATCCGGTTCAAAAATAATTTGAGTATGAAATAGGACTCTGCCCATGTGAATATATATACATTTATGTATATATTTTATTTATAAGTATATAATTTTTTTATTTTTTTTTTAAAGGTTACAATTAGGAGTTCTTGTGTTGCTCTCCTTCGGAGGTAAAAAAAATTACACTACATTCTTTTACCAACAGGTTGTTCAATTCTGTCAATACTGTGAATTAATTATTTATATTTTACAAATAATTGATAATATGATCTTTATGTTCGACACATATTTGAACCATCTATCTAAAATGTAAAATAAAGAAACTTATGCTCGCATAAATAAATAAACTGCAAATACAAATACTTGACCAAAACATAATTGTCAGTTCAAAATAGTATTAACATAAACTGAATGTCGAGCTTTTACAGTATACCCTAACAATCTCTCACTTATGCTCTATAAAACTTTCGACTATTATTAAGTATATTCTATTTCAATCTAATTATCAAAGAATAGTCTAACTAGTTATCATTACGCTTGATTCTCATTCTTTCTATGTGTCGGTCGAATACCTTCGTCGCTATGCTCTTCGTAAAAAGATATGATAGGTTGTCTCTGACGCTATCTTAGCAATAACGACTTCCTTCGCCCAACGATTTCTCGTAGCGCTCTATGTGTTTATTTGTTTCATGAGTTCGTGGTTCTTTTGAGTTTTCTACTGCTCCGCTATTGTCACAAAAAACTGTGATTGCAGCGGACAAACTGGATATATAAAAGGTTTTATTACGCCTTTACATATAGTTTTTTTATATTCTAACGAGTGAGTACTGACTTAAGCGTCTGAGGTTTTTCAGTTGAGAACCTCCACAGTGTATTTCCAAGTGACTTAAAAAATTACAATTAAGATTGCTTGTGTTGCTCTCCTTTGGAGGGAAAAAATTGGGAGATTCGAGATAGTAAGGAAAAGAACACGAGGAAAGAGATAAATAATAACAAAAGAAAAGTGAAAAAAAAAAAGAGATTTGTGCAACTTGTATGTCATGCAACACCTCACACCTTCCACCTCACCCATGCAACCCAACACGTTGCACTCTCTCCCTTTTTTTATACTCCCAAAATCTCCCCCTTCTTCATCATTTACTAATATCAATATCCCACTATTCTTTCCATCTCCACCGCCCCTACATATATACATATCTCGATCCTTTGGTTTGCTAATCCAAGCAACAATGGCCGACCGCGACCGTGACCGCCACATCCAAGCGCATCCCCACTCCCGCTACGAGACCACCAGAGACCAACTCCTCCCCCACAAGGGCGGTGGCCCCTCCGCCCAACAGATCTTGGCCATCGCCGCTCTCCTCCCCATCGGCGGCTCTCTCCTCGGCCTAGCCGGCATCATACTCGCCGGGACCCTTGTTGGTCTGGCCGTGGCCACCCCACTCTTTGTCATCTTCAGCCCAATCCTCATCCCCGCCGCCATCCTCACTGCTGGGTCGGTGGCCGGCTTCCTGACTTCCGGGGCGTTTGGGCTCACGGGACTCTCCTCCTTCTCGTGGCTGCTCAACTCCTTCCGGAAGGCCACGGGGCAGGAGCCGCTCGACTATGCCCGGCGGCAGCTGCAGGAGGGGATCGTTCAAGTTGGGGAGAAGACGAAGCAGGTTGGGGAGATGGTGGGGGACAAGACAAAGCAGACGGGTGAAGCCATCAAGTCCAAGGCCGCCGCTGGTGGTGAGGGCGGTGGGGCTGCTGGCCGGACTTGAAACTCAAGACAACTTGAAGGGTGCATGTATGTATGATGGCTTATGAATAATAATGGCGATGTTTTTTATTTCAGGAGTTTGTTTTATTTTGTGTTATGTTGTTTATTTAGTTTTTGTGAGTTAGTGTTATTATTGTGTGTGTGTGTTGTGTTGTGAGAATGTAATGCTCCCCAATCTGTATTGGCTTCGGTTGTAGTACATCTGTTAGTGTTTCTTTTCCTAATATTTTGTCGGACCAAATATAAAATAAATTCTCAACAGCAAATCGATGCATTGCTAATTCAATAGCCTAATTTAACTTCAATGAGCATCTATAGTGAAGTATGAGTGACACACATTGCAAATCTGATTTTCTGCAGTCTTTGGAAATGTATGAATACTTCAGTGAATTTCACAGAGAAATTAATGCGGTGCATGAGGTTATGAGGAGGCAGGGCTTCCGTCGTTGGGGATCCAAAAGGTAAGAACAGAGGAAGAAGCTGCCGCGAACATCACTCTGCGCGGGGCCCACCTCAGGCACGACGGGACACCTATGTAGCTCTCTAACGACGCCACCTGTCCACAATCCGAATACATTAAATAAAAATCAAATTAATGAAAGATCATACTCAACATGAGGTGTAGTTTTTTATGGAGCCTTCTTTTGTTATCCTATTGTCTGCTAATTGTACAGAATCATACTCAACAAACTATACAAGAAAGCAATACATTCATCCATTCGTACCTTGTTCGGCTCATCGTTGATGTTCCATGTATGTATATATCCATCACCCGAACCTGAAAAGAGGTTCGTCACCAAGTTCAGTCAATGTGCACATACTGATAATAACAGAAGCAACTGATTCGAATTCAAAATACTTTGCAGAACGAGACGAATTTGGTTACAAAACGAGATGTTTATGGTAAAACTATGAAAGAACTAGCATTACTTCAAAAAATTATTGCAGAGATTTGATCTAGTCACAAAAAATACCAATCTTTCATAACTACTAACGTGTGTTTCTTCTACAAATTGCAACCCGAAAATGGCTGGTTAGTTGTGTGTGGAGGGTCTGAAGATAACATGAACTTGCTGTAATTAGGCTAAAAGCATGAGAGCAGTTCCTGTGGTTATCCCTTGAAATTAAAAACAAAATTTTGTAAGGGAAAAAGGCATGCAAGCATATAATCAAACTGCACCAGTCTATTAAGTGGTGTTTAATCAACACAAAAGCCAGCCAAAAGGGTATTGTATTGGGGATTGAATTAGCATATTCAACACGATGTACCAGAGAGCACGTATTGGCCATCCGGGGTGAAAGTCGCCTCTATGGTTGCATTTGGGGAGGAATCCATAGTAAATCCACACTTCTGAAACAGCAAAAATAAAAAAATAAAAAAA